TCTCTGGGCTTTGGTGTCCACAGCGGTCATGCAGGCAGCCCTTTCCCAAGTGCCAAGTGGGGTAAGTGAGGGGCCCTAGCAGCCACAAAATGAGCGTTACCTCTTCCTAGCCACCCCCCTCTCTGTTCTTGCCTCTGGCTCTGTCTGATACCTGTCCCAGGCCCTTTGATAAGAGAGGAGATGTGAAAGGATTGGCCATTTTCTTTGAATGGCAAGGAGGCAAAAACACAGAGAATAAAGCAAAAATTATTTTATTTTTACTTTTTAAGACTGGTAAACTATAGATAACTTGACACTTGCTATCATAACCATTTTTAAGTGTGTAGTTCAATGGCATTAAGTACATTCACACTGTTGTGCAGCTGTCACCACCATCTGTCCTCGGAATTCCTCATCTTGCAAAATCAAAACCCCATATCCACTAAACACTAACTCCCCATTCCCTTCCCCTTGGCCTCTGGCAACTACCATCCACTTTCTCTCTTTGGGAATTTAACCACTTGGGGCACCCACAGAAGCAGAATTACAATAGTTGCCCTTTTGTATCTGGCTAGTTTCACTTAGCATGTCCTCTAGGCTCACCCATGTTGTAAAAGCAAAAATCGTTTCATCTCAATAACGTATCCTGCCTCTCTGGAGATAGCGATGGCTCAGTGCCCCTGGTCTGGTCAGGAGGTGCTTATGAGCACGCTGCTGCCCCCGGGCACAAACGTGGGGGGCTTGCGGGAGGTGGCATTTTCTGTGGGGGGTCTAATTCTGGGGTCTAATCCTAACCCTGACCCTGACCCCTCACTCCTGACCCCTCACCCTATCCCTCACCCTAACACTTGCCATGTGCCTATGGCCTCATCCTGTGACAGGTGCTTAGTGAACCGGGTTGATGGGCAGAGTGAGGCTGGCTGTCTCTTCAGAGCACCCGACACTGAGCCCTTTCTTCAGAGTGTGGGGAGTGTCCCGGGCTCTTCAGAGCCACGCTCACTAAACATCTTTCCTCCCTCTACTGGTTACAGAATGTGTCTCTCAAAATGGCCTTCATGAAGAGCGTAGTGCAGGTCACCAATGCTGTTAACAACATCACAGACCTGGAGGACTTCCAGTATGCCCAGAAGATGGCTCTCACTGGCATCATAATGGTAAGCTGTGCAAGGGGCCGCCGGGTCTAGCTCTGCAGACTGGCCTTCCCCTGGTCCCAAGTTTTCAGAATTCCTGAGGGCATCTAAAGGACAAGCCCTCTGCGAGGTCTCTGAAGCACCTCCCTGTCTGAGTCCTGCCCAGACCTGTCTGACTGTAGGAGTTTGGGGAACAAACTGATAAGGTTTCACAGGCAGGCAGTAGTCTGGAAATCAGGCGGAAGACTGGGCTGTCTTGGCCCTGGGGTGCCCCGAGGTGGTTGGTTCAGGGGCTGGTAGACAGAAACTCACTGGGTTGCCCCAGATGAGGCTTCAGTGTCTCTCCATGGGGGGATTTAGAGGCAGGGGCCTGCTGGAAGCAGACTTAGAGTGACACTTGGCCAGAATTTTGACAAGACATAGAACATATCAACTGTTCAAAGGCTGATGGAGCCTGTGGGATAGCCAGTGTCCGTCGTCCCCAGAGCTTCCCATCCCACATCACTGCCATTGCCCTGGCCCCTGGAAACTGCTCAGCTGGCTGGAAGCAGCTGTTGAGGGAAGCGAGATGGAGGTGGGCAGGAAGCAGCAGGAAGAAAATGGACGTTGATGGGGCTCCCACACTGTCCAGGAGCTCTGGGCCAGCCTGGCACAGCTGATTGGTCACCAGGTGTTGCTCTGCAGAGAAGGGAACTTGGGCTCAGGCAGGGGAAGTCTAGATCCCCACTCCCACTTTGCTGCCTCTCCTAAACTGCCAGAGGCCAAATGATCCTAAAAAGGGTGGACGAGTTGTGGGACATTAGAGCATTTTGTGAAACACCGGGTTTTCCAGCACTAACCCTGGGGAGTGTTGCTGCCTTCACTGTCACTGTCAGCCAAGGGCCACACCACTGTGCTGGACCTCAGGGTGGGCGCCAGTGGTTCACCACCCTACTTCTGCTGGGCAGGCGGTCATCAGGGCAGAGCCAACTGACAGCCTGGTTTCTCCTGTGCGGTCCATGGCGATGGATGCTCTCTCTCACCTGAGGTGAGCTGGGTCCTGCCTGTGCCCCAGGGATGGGAAAGATTCTGAGCCCATCCCTCAGAGGCTGTATTCCTTTGCCCTTCCTGGCAGTGTAGCAGGCACCATGGGTGCAACTCCCTGGAGCAGTGGGCCAGCTTAAAATGTCAGGGTCTGTCCCATCCAGCTGCTTTCTGCAATCCTCAGCAGGATTTCAAGATTGGGAGGTGGATGGCATGTGGGGAGGCTGTTCTTTAGTTGATTAGGGGATGTTTGAAGCAAGAAATCTCAGCAGTAACACTGAGGACCATGCAGGGAGATAGCATCCTTCAGGATGAACTGGGCTGTGTCAATGAGTCAATGGCTCAGTCAACTGTTTATTGATATGGTTTATGCAAATTGATCTAACACTCAAGGCTCACCTGCCTGGAGTTGTCAATCCATTAGATGGAAGCGGGGAGGAGGAAGAACTTATGGATTTATAAAGTTAGTATTTGAAGTGGTTGAGTCATCTCTGGGAACACTGCACCTGTGGGGGAAGATCCATCATTTAGGCTTATAGTTGAACTATCTGCTGCTTTAATCTGCAGCAAAGAGACAGATTTTAAATACACTTCACAGATACCAAGTGAACACATATTCAGTTCATGCTGGGTTCTTGGGGGACACAGAGATACATAAGACCTAGTCTCAGCTTTTAGGGACTTAGAGATAAAGCAAACACATACAAGCAGAATTATAGATCAAGCTAAGAGGACTACGTTTGCAGGTGGGCCACTACCCACCCTCGAAAAAAAAAAGTAAGATCACAAAAAGGGGGCTACTAAAAAAATGCAACTCTGTCCAATAGGGGCTAGCAAAAGGTTTGCTGCAGGAGTTGGCATTTGACTTTTGAGCTGAGCTTAAACAGAATGACTGGATTAGGGTCCTCCAGGCAGGGAGAAGTATGAGACACCTTTGGGGAGCATAAATTTAAAGTAGAGTAGGGGCCCTAGGTGTTCTTGGCTGGTTCTAATACACATCGTCCTGGAGAACTAGAAATGAAGGAGACAGAAGAAGAATGCACCAGCATGCACTCATCAGCTAGCTGCCACCAGGAGGGTTTGTTAAAGCCCAGATGCCTGGCATCCATTCCCAGTTTTTGGTGTAGTAGGTCTGGGATGGAGCCATAGAATTAATGTTTCTATTGAGTCCCAAGGTGGTGCTGCTGGTCTGAGTATTATGCTCAAAAACCATTGAACTAGGAGCATCCTGAAAGGGCAGATCTATGGTTATAGTCAGGGAAGAGCAATGAAATGTTTCTGAGCAGGGGACTAACAGGCTCAAAGCGGACACCAAGTAGGAGAGGTGGCCCCGGGCCGCCAAGCCCTCCTCAATCACACATAGTCACTGGACACTGGTGGCTGGGCAGAGCCAGGTGAGCCCCCAGCTAGAGAAGCTCATCTCTCTCCTGTCCTGGGCAGAAGGGCTGCATGGACTCAGCCCTCCTGATCACTTTTCTTGTCACCACTTCTTCCTCAGCAAGCTGAAGCCTTTCTACTCCACAGAGGAAAACAATGAGCTGATGGATGTCAGTATACATTCTGTAATTTCTCTCCCACCCCCAAGAGAGGACAATGAGTCCATTAAGGTAAGTTACACTGGGCCACCTCATTTTCTGCATTGGGACCTTGAAGTTTACATTAACATGGGCCATGCTGTGAGTTGCCCTTTCTGAACCATTCTCAGGTGGTTAGAGGCAGGAAAGTGTAGCAGGGCCTATTAGTAAGTATAAGATAACACTAGCTGATGTAACTAATAAACCCTGAAATCTTGGTGGTTTAGCATGATAAGATAAAATTTATCCATCCTCTTTTGAGATAGATCCTTGCTCTATTGTCCAGGCTAGAGTGGTGTCATCACAACTCACTGCAACCTCAATCTCCTGGGCCCAAGTAACCCTCCTGCCTCAGCCTCTTGAGTATCTGGGACTACAGGTGTGCACCAAAGTGTCCCATTGATTCTTCTAGTTTTTCTAGAGATAGGATCTTGCATCTTGCTGTGTTGCCCAAGCTGATCTCAAACTCCTGGGCTCAAATGATCCTCCCACCTTGCCCCCCCAAAGTGCTAGGATTGCAGGTGTGAGCCACTATGCCTGGCCTTATTTTTCACTCAAGCAAAGTCTGGTTGTCAGTAGGGTAGGGGTGGGGCTGCTGCATGCAGTTATTCAGGAGGCTAGGCTGACAGACACCCCACTCTTTTCCATAAATAGCTCATAAGAGCCCTAGGGTGTTGCTTTCCAGCCTTGACAGACAGGAGAGAAAGCCTGGGGAGCATTATGAGCCATTTCTCCCTCATTCCATTGGCCATACACAGTCACATGGCTCCCCCCCGTGCAAGGCATCCTGGGAAATTTAGATCCTGACTACTTGGTGGATTCCCAAAGATACTGTGGAAGAGGAGAAGGAACTTTTTGTGGACAGGTAGCCATTTTCTCCTCAAGGACATGTGTTTGGATGAGGAATCAGGAGAACTGTGCTCCAGGAGTTTGGTTTCTTCCTGTGTGTAGTGGATTCCTCTCAAATGACTGCCTGGTTCTTCACAAAGGAAGATGAGTGTAAAGAGTGCCGACCCAGCAGAAGACAGTGGGTGACCATCAGACCACCTCACACTTCCCTCCCTGGCCTGGACTCCCACAGAGAGGCTGTTTGTGTGTTCTCCTCCCCTCCCCTGCCTAGCTCTCTCTCTTGGCTCTAGACACTGCACGTGAATGCCCAGAGTGCCCTGGAGCGGCTGATGGGGCACCTCCTGCAGAGGCAGCTGGACCCCCGGGGATTGCAGGACATGGTGCATGTGAGTGTTGTGATGTGGGGGAGGGCAGGAGCCAGGGATGGTGGTCCCTTCAGCTCAGGCCAGCTGGCAGGAAACAGGGAATCACAAAATATTGGTTTAGTAATTTCATTTTGATAAAATCCCCAAACTTGCTGAAAAGTTGCAAGGTAGCACAAAGATACTCTTTGTGCAGATGCACAGTTATCAATATTTTTTCACATTTTCTCTCTCTTCTTTCTCTTTTTCATTTCACTGACATACATCCTTTGAACTATAGAAAGTGAGCTGCAGACATCAAGAACAAGATATTCGGCTGGGGGCAGTAGCTTATGCCTATAATCCCAGCACTCTGGGAGGCCAAGTTGGGGGATTGCCTGAGCTCAGGAATTTGAGACCATCCTGAGCAAAAGTGAAAGTCCCTCCACCCATCTCTATTATAGATAGACAAACTAGCCAGGTGTGGTGATGGGTGTCTACAGTCCCAGCTACTCAGGAGGCTAAGGCAGGAGGATCACTTGAGCCAAGGAGTTTGAGGTTGCTGTGAGCTATGCGGATGCCATGGCACCTTACCCAAGGTGATAGAATGAGACTCTGTCTCAAGAAAAAAAAAAAAAAAAAAAAGAAGAAGAAAGAAAAGAAAAGAAATTTTTCTCCTAGTCTGTAGCTTGTCTTTCCATTCAGTTTTCAATTTCTTTCAATGAGCTGAAGTTTTAAATTTTGATTGTTTAGTTAATTAATTAATTTTTTCTTTTTTTTTAGGAATCAGCTTTTGGTTTTATTTATGTTTTTATTTAATCATAGTTGTGTACATTAATACTATCATGGGGTGCAGTGTGTTGTTTCTGTATACAATTTGAAATACTTTCATCCAATTGGCCAACATAGCCTTCATGTCATTCTCATAGTTGTTGTGTTAAGACATTTATATTCCACATGTAGAAAGATTCACATGTACCCTTATAGGATAAATCATAGGCGTGATCCCAGCAATCACCCTCCATTCACCATCTTCCCCCCTCCCCTCCCCTCCCTCTCCCCTTTCCCTGTATTCCTAGGCTAAAATTGGGTTATAGCTTTCCTATGATAGCTAAAAATTAGTTTTATAATAGGGTTGAGAACATTGGATACTTTTTCTTCCATTCTTGGGTTACTTTGCTAAGAAGAATATTTTCCAGCTCCATCCATGTAAACATGAAGGAGGTAAAGTCTCCATCTTTCTTTATGGCTGTATAGTATTCCATGGTGTACATATACCACAATTTATGGATCCATTCATGGGTCAATGGGCACTTGGGCTTCTTCCATGACCTAGCAATTATGAATTGGGCTGCAGTGACCATTCTGGTACAAATATCTGCATTGTAGTGTGATTTTTGGTCTTCTCAATATATACCTAGCAGAGGAATTATAGGATCAAATAACAGATCTATTTTTAGTTCTCTAAGTGTTCTTCAGATGACTTTCCAAAAGGGA